GGTGAAACAGCAGGGATGAGGGGTGACTCTGACACCCCACACATTGCTTCATAATGGTGACACTTCCCTGTCTCACAGGGGAAGCATCGCCAAAGTGGTGTGGATCTGTGCAGCTTCCATTGAAGCCAGCACAACATGGGCAGGCTCCCATGTTTGAAGGGAAGCTTCCTAGGATGCTTCCACTATGGTTGTGGGCAGGGTCTCCACCAGAAGCCCAGCAATGTCATGTGATGGGCAGCATGGCCATCCATTGCTGGACTGGTGGGGAAGAGTCCTAGGATGCTAAAAAAGACCCATGTGATATATCTTGATTATGCCAACATCTTTGTGTAAATTTTGTCTGCTACCAGTTCTGTATAGTAGTTACACACTCTTCACATAGGACAGCAGTTTCCATTTTGAGAATCAGGAGACAATTGAAATTGGGCATACACTGTAACAACATGCAATGTAAAGATTATTCATTTTGCATTGGGATGGCAAAGTGTAGCCCTATAGATATTATTGGACTGTAAATTGCAACATAACAAATGGAAAGAAATCTTGGGAGTTGCCAACCAAGAACATTTGTAATGCGTGATTCCCAGTGATGTTTTTTATTCTCAAATAACAGTGTGACTCAATTAAGACTAAGCTCAGATGAATGATGCTTAGGTCATGCTCTGATGCGCAGAAGTGAGCAGGAACAAGAGAGTGTGTTTTCTTCTCACCTTCCTGCTTTGAATCAGATATGCATAGACATGTTTCACTACATCTGATCTGTATCCTATCTGTGTAGACCAGCGGTTCTCAAAGTGTGCTCTGCGGAGCTCTTGGGGCTCCGCAAAGCATACTAAAGGGCTCTGTAGTTCCCTCCTCCTCCTCTTTTCTGCTTCTCCACCTCCTTCATCTCCCTTGCCACCAAAAGCCTTTCCTCACCTTCCTCATTGCCCAGATCCTTTCCCCCCTTGCCTTCCTTGCTTCAAAAACCATATATTTCCCTCCGACAGCTCAGGAGTGTTTTGATTGTGCTTTTCCTGCATAGCAGAAGGGGGTTGGATTGGATGGCCCCTGGGGTCTTCCACTGAAATATTGTCAAGTTTATGCTGATCAAAAGGTTTGCCCATGCCTGATCTCTCTCTCTCTCTCTCTCTCTCTGTCTCTCTGTCTGTCTGTCTGTCTTATCTATCTATCTATCTGTCTATCTATCTATCTATCTATCTATCTATCTATCTATCTATTACAATATATAAACATTGCTTGGGACACCATGGCTGAAAAAGTTAGATACCTCTGGTGTAGACAACCATTTGAATGTTATTTTTTTATTTATCATGTCAGAAGTGAACCAAGAGTAGAGTTGTAATATATTTAAAAACACACAGTTTAAAAACTTGGCATTATACTTCATGTCCTTTGACCAGTAGAAGAGTACCTCTGATGTTGCTATAAGAAGGTCCTCCATTGTGCACATGACAGGGCTCAGACTGCATTGTAATAGGTGGTCTGTGGTTTGCTCTTCTCCACACTTGTGCATTGTTATCATTCCATACAAGTGGTTGGCAGTATTGGAAATAGTTCAACAGCCTACTTTGGCCCTATGTGAAGGGGAGAAAAACATCTGACCTGAACACTAATGAGTCATGAATGGGACAATATATAAGAACAGCAAACAAAAAATGTGACACAGATGTGTTCCTTTGCCCTGTCTCATAGGTATTACAGTCCTAAGAATCATTTCAACATCCTTTTGCTAATGTGACAGATAAAAGCAACAACATTTGCATCCAATAAGAATGTTTCTGTCATTTTTGACAGCACTTCTCCAAAAGAACATAAAATCCCAACTTAATTTTCAGATATGGCTTTATTAGCATTAAAATTATTCACAAATCCCAAATCAATATACATATGTTAGTAGGACCTGTCTATTCTGCAAAGCACTTTTGCCCACTAATCTGCTCATAAGCACCAGGGATTTTCCACGGTCATTACTGTTCACCTAACTGTGAAACTGCTTTAGTGGGATCTGTCAAATCAACCATACCATGGTCTGCTCCTTTCTATAAAAAGTATAAAAATGGAATTATTCTATATGTTACAGGTGGGCAAAATGTGGCTCATGGACCACATTCAGTCTTTGGAACCATAAACACCAGAACTCCTTAAAAATGAAAAATAAACCCTCTGGTTAATTTTTGCCCCTATTCTAATTTCTCCTGGAAAATATAGTGATTTTGTTCCTTCAAGTTGCTAATCTCATGCCTTAATCTCACAGAATACCCCACCCCAAATTGCCCAAAAGGCAACCAAAACTGGACCCAGAATTTCCATTAGTGACAATGGTGTAGCCAGTTGTGTGTTGAGATGGTGGGGGGCTCTGGAACAAAAAATGTCCTATATCCCTTCTGCAGTTCAACAGTCCTGCTATATACTAATGTAGCAAAATGATTCACAATGCCTCAGTCTTTAAGAAGCTGTGGAATTACTTGCTGCGGTCTTCTTTTGTAACTTTGCTCTCATTTTATTGCTTTTTGCAATGTGCTTTGCTACACTTTTATTAAATCCCAAAGTAACTGATAATGTCTTCACTTCTAATTCATTACTTCAAAGCTATACTCTTCATCTCCCCTTTCTTTACTAATACATTTTACTTCTCTTAAATCACAAGGTTATGACTGATGAAATAATATTGAGGTAATTTGGCACAGAAAACAAAGAGCAAAGATGGGCCCACTCTTAACATTTTGTATTAATATGCTAATAATACCTGAAAGCTTCTATGAATAGAACAATAGCAATCCAAATTTATACAAAATACAGGAGAGAAATGTGTAAATTAGCAGGAACATCCTGACTGATGGAAATAAAATTTGACAGAGAGACAACCTTGGCTTTGAATCTAATCCCATTTATTTCATTGCCAATGAATGTGTTGTTTCAGTGGTCATAAAGAGCGATCCTTTCTGTTTCTGTCGGTTAAGGGAATTGAGCTTTAATTTAGGGCAGGAGTTCTTAAACCTTTTCAGCCACTGAGCCTTTTTTGAAGCAGAAGTTTCTTGTGGAGACCCAAGAACTGGCTCTGAACCGGTGCTTTGTAGCTGTGTGGGACTGGATGAGGGAAAACAAATTGAAATTGATTCCAGACAAGACAGAGGTCCTTGTGGTCAGTCGAAAGGCTGAACAAGGCATAGGGTTACAGTCTGTGTTGGGTGGGGTTACACTCCCCTTGAAGACACCGGTTCGCAGCTTGGGAGTGATCCTAAACTCATAGCTGAGCCTGGAACCCCATTATACGGTAGTGTAGATCTAGCACAAACATACACACAATTGTGCTGTACTACTAATTGCCCTTTCCCACAGCCACACTACCAAATTCTCAAGCCAATACATCTCTAAAAAGATTGGGGGCAGTTTTCCCATAAAATTGCAAAAGTTCTGTAAGGTTTACAAAAATGCAGGGTTTTTGCCTCCCTGATGGTGAGACATTCACCGAAATAAAGCTAAAGACAAGGGGAAAGTGCCTGCCCCTTTTTTGAGTCTGTCCCCCTTTTTCATTTTAAACCTGCAGTCTTTTTTGCGGTGTTGCAAAGACCTACCTCAGTGGTGTGAAATAGTAAGGAGGTATTTGCATAGTAAGGAAGGAAGGAGGGGAAAGGGGCTGAAATGCCCCTGGGGAGAGGTTTGACTCTAAAATGCTTTTGGATAGATTTTCGACTTGCAGAAATTAAATATGAATATAAACGACAGGCCCTGGGGACAGTGGAGGCAGTACACAGGCTCCAGGGATGGCAACAGAGCACAGGATCTGGTAGTGGTGTGAAGGCAGCAAATGGCGTGAAGGAGGTGGGGAAGTGAGGGGCTGCAGGGCCTTCGTGGAGCCCCTGACTGTGCTCTATGGATCTCTAAGAGCTCCACAGAGCACACTTTCAGAATCACTGATGTAGAGAGTCATTTTCAAAGGTCAACTAGGAAGATATCTTAGAGACCACTATTCAATGGTCTTCTACTTCATTTAATGCAAACATCTTAATAGGTGAGAACTATCACCCATAGTGTTGAGGAGGTGCAGAGACAGAGTTTAGCAATGCATAAATTGTTTAATGCCTTTTCTATATGCCCTGGGAGAGGTTGATGTCTTTTTCATCTTCATCCGATTACATGTTTGGAGCCTTCTGATCTTCTTTGGATGCCTTAGGCTTAATCACGGTTAGAAAAGGGAGGAAGAAGCAAAGAACTATAAGCATTACAGATGTGAAAAATTATGTAAGCCAACTCTTGATTATTTCATTAGTTTTTGCAGCATTGCTTGCTAATGGCAAGACATATGAGTAAGTGGAATTATAATGTGGGCAGAAAAAATCGCAGTAGAAAGAAGTGGTTGTTGGATGGGCATTTTTGCAGATGTATACATTTTTTCAATGGTTGTCCAGTCCACACCAGGATTATGACAAACATCACATTGATGTGATTGACTTTGGAAAACATATTTTGCCATCAATCTATTGTCCCCAGTCATAGTGCATCCAGAGATGAGTAGCTTGAAGGAACTCTATTGATATGTCATCGGTTCCTGGTGTTTTCATTCATTAATTGTGAATGATAAATATTCTGAACGATTTCTCTGGTTGTTTCAGCACCATGGACAGCCCCACCCCTTTGTTTTCTGAAACTGTCATTCCAAAATCTGAGAAGGTTAGCACATCAGGCCCCTCTACCAAGAACTGTTTGTATAACAAATGTTTTCCATATTCTCCAGGGAATTTTTTAATTTAAAAAAATAATTAAGCATATTTGCTTGTTAATCTTCAATATGTCATATATTTTATATGCAGCACCATACATTTGGGGAGGGTAAATAGATTCAGCAGTATAGGTCTATTTTGTTGAATCATTTTTTAAATGATGGTGGAGTAAAGTCAGTTACCAAATGGAAATCAATCAGCATGGTATTTGAAGAAAAGATACAGCACTCCAACCAAGAAGCTCTGACCATTTGTAAATTAGAAGTGGAGGGAACAGGAAGGATATTGACATCCTATGCCAGCAAAATCGATCTCTGTCTCTTTAAACTCCTGATCATCAAACAGTTTGGCTGGTTTCACAAGCCAGGCACAGCACATTGACTCATGAACACAATGAAATGGACCTAAGACTGTTTCCTCTTCACAGCAGATAAAACAGTTCACCCATGTAAAGGTAGGGAAAAGAATATGGTTTTTGTGAATCTGACTTAGTCCATTTCTGATGCAAATAAGTAGATGTTTTGCTGTCGATGTCTGTTTTTCAATTGCATGTCTAATGTGTTTAAGTATAATGCTGTTATTCATGGCCACCGGAGCCTCTTTTTAGTATTTCCCAAGGAAACAAATTTATGTATTTTATCAATGCACATCACTTTAGTTCATTTTAAACCTATATCAGTTAGTGATGCCCTTATTGCCTGTACTGTCTTCCCATTATATTATTTTTTTGTGTGTTAACTCTAAAAGAAACTTGCATTGCAATCTACAAACGTTGCTTTATATTCTGTTTTTGACTCTTCTTTTCGTAATGTCACCTAACGGGTTTCATACTTGAACTGTGTTTTAAATATATGTGTCTCAGGGTTGCAAGAGAGCTATTGCTGTTTCTGAGAGCTGTTTACTGATACTAATTTAGCTAATTAGGTGATTACACATTTCAGTTGCTTGGTCATATCGGCTGTTTATGTTGTATATTATTGTTTAAACACACAGACCTGTTAGGTTGACCAGATCTGAATTCCAGAATATGTGATGTTCTAAGGAGAAACAGGAATCAATATGCATTGACTATTAAGTTTTATGTTTAGTTCTAGCCTCTCAAGAAAACCAACAAGCACACTTAATTCTCTATTATCATCAAGATATGTACTGTGTAATTCCTTTACGTACTGCACACTCTTGTATTTTTTTTGGTCAGATGTTTTACTTTCCTCTTTCTTTCCCTGCACATATAGTCCTCCAAGTATTAATGTAGAGGTTACAGTCAGTTTCAGTGTTAAATTTATTTTGCTAATAGTATGTAAAAGAGCATTTCTCTTCCTCTCCTTTTAAATTACTACACGCAGGACAAGTCACTAGTCATCAACAGATGGTGATGTCTGCTTGTGGAAATTAAGTCAGTAGTCTCCTCAATAGTGAAGACATTCCTGGCCTGGACTTGATGGGAAAGAGATTGTAAAACATCACACATTTCTTGTAAGTCCATTTATCGATGACTGAAGAAGGTAGGTTGTACCAAGTAGGAACAGCAGCAAACCTTGTAATGACAAAGTACCTATGGATTGAGAGAAGTCTGGTATTCTTTCAGACAGAGTAATCTTTGTCTGGAAAGTGACAAGTAGCTGAAGAAATCAATTATGACTAAAAAAGAGGGTTGTGCAGGATATTTAGTCACTTTTCATTCCTTTCCACACTAGTCTGTGAGCTTATTTTGCAAACTAGATACTAAGTCTTGAGTTGACTTTCATTAATTCTATCTTCTACACACTTTTTGATCCCCAACAGCTGTGGGCTGAACAACATATGATAGTAATCAGATGGCTTCTCCTTGGATGCAGGGCACTTTGTCAGAAATAGTATTACCATACCATATATACTCGAGTATAAGCTGACCTGAATATTAGCCAAGGTACCTAATTTTACCACAAAAAAAACTGGAAACCTTATTGACTCACAAATAGGCCTAGGGTGGGAAATGCAGCAGCTACTGGTAAATTTCAAAATAAAAATAGATACTAATAAAATTACATGAATTGAGGCCTACAGCTTCTCCTCACCTCTCAGCACAGAGATCAGGCTGGGTTGCTGTGCCGAAAGTGGAGGAGGCACACAGCTGGTAGAAGCCCTGCAAAGGGCTTCTTTCAGCCCCATGCATTCCTGCCAGGACACTCACTCAAGTATAAGCCGAGGGTGCCTTTTTTGGCATTAAAATGTGCTGAAAAACTAGGCTTATACTCGAGTATATACAGTGTCAAAAGTAGTAAGAGAGCATGGAGGGATTAGGTTGGGGTCAGCCACCGTTCCCTACTGAGGTCTCCAACTGGTTAAACTGCATGCTTTTTAAGAGTTTTCATATCTTTGTGACTAAAAATAATGAGAAAATAAATTTATACCCCTTATACAAATATATAACTGCTGGGTAATTAGATTTCTACATTGAATTTTTGGGGGGATAATATATACACTCATGTATACGTTCGTTTTATGTTTATGTCAAGGGAAGGTTTGGGGCCAAGGTTATGAATTTTGATATGATTTGAATATAAGTTCATTCCACAGTGAGAGGAAATCAACAATGCCACCTCAAGTGGCTTGCCAACCCTGGCAACCACAGTATTTTTCCTTTCCAGGCATTCAAACAGCCAAAAGTGGCACCGTGGCAAAGAGGGCAGAGGAGGTCAGTGTATTTTTATCATTTCCACAAAGTGAACTAAACTCTTGTCTTTTGCCCCTCTGCTCAGAGAAGGGTACGGTTTCTTTCTTCTTCTTCTTTAAATAGGAGTTAAGGTATAGTACTCGTATTGATAAACAGACCAGGTTTTTAAAACTATTTTAGTGACCAAAACTTCCAGACAGTAAAAATTCTTTTTGTAAATTTTGCCACATTGAGTATTTAATATTTATCACACTATTAGGGTGACAGATATAGGGACTTGGGAATATTCACTACCAATGCTATTTCACCAAGCATTGTTATACATGTCTGCGTGGAGAGAAAACTCTCTAATATTTGTGGCTTATTATTTTACAGGTCAAGATGTCTGAGGCCTTTGAAGGTTCTGGAACCCCTCCTACCAATTGCACCACAATATCCCCCAACTCCAGTATGAATGGGACCTCAGTGGTTTTCCAGGGCTTGCAGCTAGTCCAACAGTTGAAGTTGCTGATCATCTTTATGTACACGGTTGTGGTTGTGATCGGGATGGTAGGTAACTGCCTCCTGGTTCATGTCATCTTGCATGTAAAGAAGATGCACAATGTCACAAACTTCCTCATTGGGAACTTGGCTCTTTCTGATGTGGCCATGTGCACCACCTGTGTCCCACTTACTCTTGCTTATGTCTTTGAGCCACGTGGCTGGATTTTTGGCAGCACCATGTGCTACTTTGTCTACTTTATGCAACCTGTCACTGTTTATGTCTCCATCTTCACTTTGGCCACAATTGCCGTGGACCGGTACATTGTTATCATGCACCCGTTGCGACGCCGTGTCTCCTTGCAGCTCAGTGCCTACATTATTCTCTTCATTTGGATTCTCTCCTGCTGCCTGGCATTGCCCGCCATGGCACACACCTATTATGTAGAGCTGAAGCAACAGGGCATCACCTTGTGTGAGGAATTCTGGGGGGAACAGGAACGACAGAGACAAACCTATGCCTTGTGTTTGCTGCTCCTTACCTACCTCTTCCCTTTGTTGGCCATTTTGATATCCTATATCAAGATCTCCCTCAAACTAAAGAACAGAGTAATGCCAGGGAGCATCACTCAAAACCAAGCAGACTGGGATAGAGCAAGGCGGAAGAGGACTTTCTTTTTGCTGGTCATGGTGGTAGTGGTCTTTGGAGTGTGCTGGCTTCCCCTTCACACCTTTAATTTAATACGGGACATAAACATCAATGCTATTGATGCCTATTATTTCAGCCTGATCCAATTGGCTTGTCATTGGTTTGCTATGAGTTCAGTATGTTACAACCCCTTCATATATGCATGGCTCCATGATAGCTTTAGGGAAGAGCTTAAAAAATTACTTGTTTGGCATAGAAAAGTAATTCCTACTGGACAAAGTGTGACTGTAAGTGTTGTTATCTGACTACCTTTCCTATATCTCTTAGACATTTGTCTATGTTGAGGTTTTAAAGAGTTAAATATGTGAGAAAAGAGAGATTCAGACCAGCAAATGATACCATATTTCTATTATTGCTCAAACCTTACCTCCAGACAACACACATTCACATCATACTCTAAATATAACCGCTTTGAATGAAATATATATATGGAAGGAATAAAAATGCGATTAAAATTCTATTCTATATAAGATTCTCCCACCTCCTGCTTCATATCAGTGATGCTATGTTGGTACAGTAATGTTATTTTTTCCCTTGGTATTTCAGAGCAGGACATTTTCAATATAGGATATGACTGTTATGAATATCAAATTTATGTGTTTAAACATTGTCTAATGAATTCAGCCTGTAGTCATACAGAGTTACTCAGTAGCTGTAAATGGCATTCGGCTTAAGCCCAGATCCATTTTTAGCCATTTCCTTCAGCCAATCTGGCTCCTTCGGTTTGTTTGGGTGTCAGTAACAGCAAGGGGCCAGCCATCATGAATTCCCATCCAAAACAGGACCACAGGGCAGCTGGTTAGGCTCCTCCTCCCCCTTTTTATTTTTCTTTATTTTCCCTATGTTTTCTTGATTTTTTTTTAGTGGGACTGACTTGGATTTGGGGACATCCAGGATGGGTAGATGAAGTGCATGCACACATTTTGGGGCTTGGGAGAGTCATCCTTTTAGCTATTTTTTCTTCTTCCCTTCCTCTCCTTCAAATAATTCTAAAAGATAATAATAATAATAATAATAATAATAATAATAATAATAATAGACACAATATGAGGATTTAAAGATTGAACTGCAAAGACTCTGGCACAAGCCAGTAAAGGTGGTCCCAGTGGTGATCGGCACACTGGGTGCAGTGCTAAAGACCTTAAACACAATCTGCGCTGACAAAATTATCATCTTCCAGCTGCAAAAGGCCACCTTACTGGAATCTGCATGCATTATTCGCTGATACATCACACAGTCCTAGACAATTGGGAAGTGCCTGGTGTGTGATCCGATACAACAGCCAGCAGAGTGATCTTGTCTGCTGTGGACTCATATTGTGTTTTTGGGAGTTGTGTGAAAACTAATATGGGGTTCTACCGGTATCCAGTCAGCAGATCAAGGTTTAGCTGAAATGCACAAGCCTAAATGGCAGTAACATGTCAAATTCAAGCTGAATGTTGTTACATACAATTGACATGCCTTTGAAATCTCTACAGTCAAGTGTTATCAAGCTTGTGATTGCCCAAAGATATGGAATGCTCTTACTCAGCAAATAAATACATTGGCAATGATAATATATTGGGACAGTATGGATATCCATACTGTCCCAATATATTATCATTGCCAATGTATTTATTTGCTGAGTAAGAGCATTCCATATCTTTGGGCAATCACAAGCTTGATAACACTTGACTGTAGAGATTTCAAAGGCATGTCAATTGTATGTAACAACATTCAGCTTGAATTTGACATGTTACTGCCATTTAGGCTTGTGCATTTCAGCTAAACCTTGATCTGCTGACTGGATACCGGTAGAACCCCATATTAGTTTTCACACAACTCCCAAAAACACAATATGAGTCCACAGCAGACAAGATATATATATATATATATATATATATATATATATATATATAGGCAGTGTAATTATACATAGGATTATGGAACAATTGGACTATGAGATTAGATTATGTTTTTTATCTAGGAGACAAAATGATTGTTTTTACTACTGTCATGGCTTTTAATTGATGTGTTAATGCTTTTTAATGTTTTTATGTTTTTATGATGTTGTTGGCATTGAATTGTTGCCTTGTGAACCGCCTCGAGTTGCCTATGGGCTGAGAGGGGCAGTATACAAATGTGTATATATAATGACTACATATTAGAATACATTTTTTTCTGCTCAGTATTGTGTAAATATTTGAGTGATGCTCCATTTTATCTAATTGTCCATTACACAGCATTCCACATTCTTGGCTATGTCATAGTAAGGGGATAAGATCAGATGAAACATGCAAATTAATTTAGCAATGTCAAGTTATTTGTGTAGTTGGTGCATTGTTTTAGGAATGGACACTGAGTTTCTTCTGCACACAGTACTTTAATCTAGTTGGCATGGTTTAATGTATATTTTATATTTCATATCTCCCTTGTTGTTTGTATATACCTGCCAGCTGTGAACAACACTTCATAGATCTGATGAAGTAAACTCAATTACATGAAAGGTTATACCCTCATAAAGCCATTAATGTTTCAGGTGTCATAAAGACTTAGTTTTTCAAAAGACTAATTCTACTTCTCTCTTGAAACTATTTTATTTCCATCTGGAAATTGTTTTATTACACATTACTCCAGATTTATTGATTGCATTCAAGTCTCTTATCTGTCCAGTGTGATCAAGGGGCTTACTTCAAGTAAGCCAAAATTATATTATACTCCACTCTCTTGATAGCAGATTTACAAATCTTTATACAAAAACACTGTTCAAATCTTTCTTTAAAAAAAGCCACACTCACATTGTTAAAATATTTATAATGTCCAAAAGCACAGATGGTGGCTATTCAACTATTCAATGGCTGATGCTTATTTTCTAGCTCTTAATCCATCAATCACTTAACTCCAAAGATTTGACATGCAAAACAGCCACAGATGAGAGCCAGTGGTTTGGCTGTTGGAATCCCTGCTCAGTCATATAAATCAACTGAGTGACCTTGAGTAAGTCCCATTCTCCCGGTCTAAAATAAAAATGGCACCCCCACCCCGAATAAATCTCACCAAGCAAACCCAATCATAGGGTCACCATAAACCAGAGTCATCTTACTGGGAAATAACAACAACAGAGATATTTTGTATCATTATTCCTCCTTGTGAATAGCTTGCCATGGGGACGGTTCCCATGTGTCTGTGAGTCATTGGATTATATGATAATAACATGACTGGATTCATAAATTGAATACTCAATGGATTGCTGTGAGTTGTGAATACTCAATGGGTTGCTGTGAATACTCAATGGCTTAAATGAAGATGTAGATTGGATGATGACAGTTTTCTAGCCCATTTAATTTTCACTGTTTTTGATTTTTTTGGGTATTTACTAATGGTTTGTATAATGGTGTATACTTTCAGTTACCATCACTGTATTCAAATATTGTGTTCGTGTTAGATGTAAATACAGATAATTTGTCATTGTTCTTGTTTGAAATGTTTGTACTTGAAGAACTTGCAGAACTGTTAAGATACAGAATGTATTGTATATTAATTAATGGCATTTGCCCCTTTTTAAAGCATGCCCTTTGCCATTGTTTTAGTGTAGTGTCTTCTTGATTATGTGAGTCTGAAAGTGTATTATTTTTAAATGTTGTATAATGAATTCTAATTGAATTGTTATTGGAAGCTAACCTGCACAGTCATGTACTTTAAGAAGAATCTGTTATCTCTGAAGGCTCATTAATTGGAAATTCAGGTTGGATTATAGCCTTGAGTCAAGATACCAAAATATGACTAAAGAGGCACAGAGGTTGCGGTAAATGTCTAACTATATAAGCAGAATCTCTAGCTGTTGGCATTAGGTTGTGGGGAGTCAAGGAGAAAAGGCACTTATTTTGTATAAATTGATACTTCAGAGTTGGTAAATACTGGATTAAAATGAATTCTTTGTAAATATGTATATTTTGCATGTCTTTATGATTATTTAGGGTTTTGGAGGGGCAACACTTCAGCCTTTTATCTAGAGCAAAGATTGGTTGACATACAATTTGAGTAATATATTATTTTAATGATTTATTATATTTATTATACACCTTTACACACACACACACACACACACAAACACACACACAGAATATATTCCCCAAAACATATACATTCTTTAACAACTAATAGTAGCTATGGTGATTATTTGAAACGTACATAAATATATTTATATTGAAGAATAAATGTTGTACTAATGATTTAATTAGACCTACAAATATCATTCTAAATAAAGTATTGAAATTGTTGTCCCTTAGCACCAATGCAGTACTCACATTGTTGAAGCATAATAATAATAATAATAATAATAATAATAATAATAATAATAAAACACTTGATTTATATTCTGCTTTATCTCCCCAGAGCAGTGTTTCTCAACCTTCCTAATGCCGCAATCCCTTAATACAGCTCCTCATGCTGTGTAGACCTCCAACCATAAAATTATTTTCGTTGCTACTTCTCAACTGTAATTCTGCTACTGTTATGAATCGTAATGTAAATATCTGATATGCAGGATGTATTTTCATTTACTGGACCAAATTTGGCACAAATGCTCGATACGCCCAAATTTGAATACTGGTGGGGTTGTGTGTGTGTATGTATGGGGGGGGGATTGATTTTGTCATTTGGGAGTTGTAGTTGCTGGGATTTATAGTTAGCCTACAATCCAAGAGCATTCTGAACTCCAACAATGATGGAATTGAACCAAACTTGGCACACAGAACTCCCATGACCAACAGAAAAAACTGAAAAGGTTTGGTTGGCATTGACCTTGAGTTTTGAAGTTGTAGTTCACCTACATCCAGAGAGCACTGTGGACTCAAACAATGATAAATCTGGATCAAACTTGGCACAAATACTCAATATGGCCAAATGTGAACTCTGGTGGAGTTTGGGGAAAATAGACCTTGACATTTGGGAGTTGTAGTTGGTGGGATTTATAGTTCATTTGCAATCAAAGAGCATTCTGAACCCTATCAACGATAGAATTGGGCCAAACTTCCTACACAGAACCCACATGCTTTGAAGGGACTTGCTGGCACAAACCTCCCTCCAGCCTCACACTCTTTCCTTTGTCCTGTCTGTTTCCAAAAAAGAAGAGAAGGACAGGTGGAGAGGTCTTCAGCCTTCTCTGCCAAAGGGGTTCCTAAGACCATCAAAAATATGTTTTCTGATGGTCTTTGATGACCCCTCTGAAACCCCCTCGTGACCCCCCCCTGGGGTCCCGACCCCCAGGTTGAGAAACGCTGCTGCAGAGGGACTCAGAGCAGATTACAATACACATATAAGGCAAACATTCAGTGACTTTTTTTACACAATTAACAGCGACATACAATATATAGACAAGGAATCTGGAAGCGATGCTCAACTCTGGCCATGGGTAGGTGTTCTTGTTCCATTTTTCCATGTGGAGGAGCTTGTTGTTCATATAAATCTTTTATCATGTTGCCAGCATGTGTGCATCTCTGCATGGGATGCCCTTTTACCTTCCCACCAAGATAGTACCTACTGATTTACTTGCATTACATAACTTTGAACTGCTAGGTAGGCAAAAGCTAGGGCTGACAGTCGGGAGCTTACCCCAACTTGCAGCTTTGAACTGCCAACCCTCCAGTCAGCAGCCTTTCCCACAGCTAATGGTTTAACCCACTGTGCTAATGCAGCCTCACAAAGCTACAAACCTCAATTAATTTTTCTCTTGTAATTTTGCAACATTTACCTACTATTTGAATTTTAAACCTCTTAAGGGTATATATATATATTGGGGGAGGGGATTTATGTGATTTTAAAAATTGAGAATAATAAACTGTTAATGTTCGCAATCTTCCAGGGGAAAGAACTGATAAGACCACTTGTGAATATTTCTTGTCTAAAAAATTCTTGCAAAAAGTCATGGGACTGCCACAAGTCAACAGGACACATACACAAGGGTACATCCAT